CCCCCCCCGCCAGCCTGGAGGCACGGCCAGGACACTCTGAGCGGGACCCAGAACACCCAGCCCACGGGAGGGTCGAGGTGGACGCCAGAGACACCCATTATTCCCTTCTTTGCTCAACTGAATAGTCATTAAGTCCCAAGGCACTCAACCAACTGTGATCAAATATTTTTCATAACTGAAGTTGGTATCTAGCCAGTGTTGTGGGGAAGGCTGTGTGAGGATGAAAGAAAAAAACCACCAAAGCCATAAACCCAAGTGGCAGAGTTGGACATGGACCCCAGAGTTCCCTATAAATAGCAGGGGGCTAGAGAGAAATGAGCAGAGGCTCCAGCCAGCATACAGGGGACTATGTGGGGCTCGGTTTTATCTTCTGCAAAAATGAAAAGATAGAGAGGGGGGAAGGGGGAAGGGGAGGTAGATGAGGGTATAGGGTGGATAAATGGTGATAGAAAAAAAAATTATTTAAAAAAGGGGGGGAGGGGAGAAAAGCTAGACAGCCCTGAGTTTGGATTCAGAATGTCAACTTGCAGTGCCAGCTCTGGAACCAGTGGGACTCCATGAGCAGCGATAGCAAACAGACTAACTTTCAAATCCTGGATTTCTTACTTATTAGTTGGGAATGTCAGCTAAATAACTTACCTGCTATCTTTCACGGGAGAGCTTTGATAGCTATGGTTCATAGACACACAGCATGAGGTGAATAGTTGGTGTTCAACCTTCACTGGTACTTGTTGCTTTTAAGAGTTGAGTAACTGTAGATAAGATACGTAAATCTTCCTGGAGCCCTGTGTATTTATCTGCTAGGGCTGCCACAACAAAAATGCCACAGACTCTGTGGCTTAAAAAACATGCATTATTTTCTCACGGTTCTGGAGGCTAGAAGTCCGTGATCAAGGTGCCAGAACATTTCTGGTGCAGGCTCTCTTCCTGGCTTGTAGACGACCACCTTCTTGAAGTCTCCTCATAGGGCCTTTCCTCCATGCTTATATGGAGAGAGTTATCTCTGGTGTCTCTTTAGGGGGTTAGGGTATCAACATATGAATTTTTTGGGGGGGCACAATTCAGTCCATAACACCCTGATTTATCTCTGCAAAATAAGATCATTGGTCTCAGCCTCGTTCACGAGTTGGGAAAATCTGAAATCACTGGCATGAATTCAGTCAGCATAAAAAGCTAAACTGTCTCGATTCTTGGAAAAGTCAAACCATATGCACATGTAGATAATTAGTTCTTAATTTTAATCTATAGCTCACGGAGCTGAGAGTTTCAAGAGAGACGGAGGAATTCACGGAAGAGTCATGAAGACAAAGCAGATAGGAATTTTGTTAAGGGTCAGGAACGCCCTGGTTTAAATGTAATGCCCACCTCTTTCTCACTGTGAGACTCTAGGCAATTGGCTTAACCTCTTTCAATCTTGTTTTTCTCATTTAGAAACCTGGGGTCATCAAAATAGTCTTTATTGTCCTGGCCAGGTGGCTCAGTTTGTTGGAACGTCACCAAAAGGTTGTGGGTTCAATTCCCAGTCAGGGAACATACCTAGGTTGCAGGTTCATACAGGAAGCAACTGATCGATGTATCTCGCTCACATCGATGTTTCTCTCTCTCTAAAAGTCAATAAAAACATATTTTCAGGTGAGGATTAAAAAAAAACCCTCTTTATTTTCCCCACCAAACCTGCTCATCCTGTCCTTCCTTCTCAGATGCATGGGTCACACTGGAGTCATCCCTGGGTCCTCTCTCCCAACCTATATCCTATCTGCCAGCCAATCCTAAAGACTTTACCAAGGAAATATATCCTGAATCCAGCCTCTTCCCATCTTTCTCCCCATGTACCACGACAGCTGCTAACCAGTCCCGTCCCCCCCCCCCCC